TTCAAGGAAGAAGATTAAAGAAATTAACTCACAACTTGCAATTCATTAAGCTTCAAAGTAGCAAAACCAAGATGGAAGAGTTTAACTCCTCATTTGGAGACTAAATATGATGAAAATATAATGAAAGAACTTGTCTAAACTAAGCTTAGAAGTATATGTGAATGAGTGATTTTATTGTGAAGGAAAGGGGTGTATTTATAGGCTTTTGGGAGCTGCAGGGTCTGATATCCGACCGGGCATATAAGATACCCGATCGGGTATCTTAGGAAATTTCCCAGAAATTCATTTTCTGGGCATACCCGATCGGGTATGTCGGCATACCCGATCGGGTATGTGACAAATCTTTACGAAATCTTCCTCCCACAATCATTTGTTCCCGGATTTGATTTTGACAATCGAATCAAGCAAATACCCGATCGGGTATAAGAGTATTTTATCCAAATCGAAATCTTTCTTGCCTCCTTGCACTTTCCTTGATCTTTTGAGGTCCAATCTTGATCCCTTGAATGATCTTTGACATGTTTAGCTCAGAATAGTCTTAATCTAAACAAATTACAAATAATTATGAAAATAAAGTATTACATCAAAAGTGTGTAATTTCCACAACCAGAACTAATAAAAACTAGTTAAAATTACAGATATAAACAATAACAACTCTATACTATCAAACTCCCCCTACTTAGTCCATTACTCGTCCTCGAGTAAAAGCCAGAATAACAGTTCATAATCCACATAATGGATAAATTCAAAGGAATAACATGTTCAGTTTTTTATTCATCCTCAATTTATAAAGAAAGAGGGTCTTCATGATCTTCACGAACAATTATTCTTTTCATTGCTTTCATCCCCAAAAACTCCCAAGTGAAATGAGTTCGTGTATAAACTCAGATAAAATTTCCTCTCATTTTCTCATTCTGCCTAGGAGCCTTTTTAGGTTTTCATCCTAGCCTCTCTCTTTTTTTCGACTCACTCATTTTTTTCCTATTGTTGCTCAGGTTGCCCGTTCGGGTGTTCAACCTAACTAACATTTCTTCTTTTTGTTAATTTTCTTTTCTTTCTTTCTTTTTTTATATTTTTTTGTATAATATATATTTTTTGAAAATACAATGTAGAAGAAATACCATATGTAAAATGAAGAGTCTTCTCCCCCTTACTAAACCGAGCATTGTCCCTACTCCCTAGTGCTCGTCTTTGCCATTGCTTGAAGTTTTTTTTCGTCTTTTTTTTAAAGATAGTTGGGGATTTTGGAGAGGGAGAGTGAGAGTTTCCAAAAGTTACATGGAGCAAGAGGAAAGTGATTGGAGCAAGATTATGATTTTTTTGGGTGTTTGGTGTATGATTTGAGTAGATTTTTTAAGAAAGAAAGATATGCTATGGTTATGTGGTATGAGGTGATTAGGGTGGGGTTGTATGGTGGTTGTGAAGATTAAATGTAAAAACAGGTGAAGAGGTGGTTGATAGGCAAACAAAACAAAAACAAAAAAATACAATCACATACGTTGCTTGGGTTGCCCCCCAAGAAGCGCCTTATTTAACGTCATAGCACGACGCCATTTTCTCAAGTTCAATCTTTAAAATTTGGGTCGTGATGAGTCATCTTTTTCACATCTTCACTCTAGTGACTCTTATAGAAAGGCTCAACTTATCGATCCTCCATTTTGACAATCTTTCCCGGATCAAATATCCGGATTTGTATCGCTTCATGTTGTGAGAATGAGGAAAAAAAAATCCCATTTAGCATGCTCAATGGAAGGGGTTTTGCTCCGGGTGGCGTAAGAGGGGGTATGACATGTTTGCATAACTCCACTGTTATTCCCTGCATATTTGTGAACGAAGAGAAATCTAAATGATACTCACAATCGCTGAAGATTTCGTAGATGTCTTTATCCTTCTCCACCCTTTGTGTTTCCCTTAGAGCCTCAGGAAATGGTTGCATGATCTTAGGAATGGTCGGTGGTGGAGTTGAGTTTTGAGGTTCCTCCTCCTCCAGTTGAGCTTTCTCCATAAGCTCATCTTCTTCCTCCTCATCGCCAATTTGGTTCACAATGCTTCGCATTTGTTTCAATTGATTCTCCAAGTTATGTTCGTTGGACTTTTTTTCTTGCGAGAATTGTGACATATTTTGTTGTATATTTGTCACATTGATAGTGAGAGCTCGGATCATGTCTTCAGTGGACATGCTGCAATAAGAACTTGAGTATAGGTTACATGTGTTGGAGAATGAATCATACCTCTCTTGGAAACCAACATCATTACTTTGTTCAAAGTATTCTTCTTGAAGCTTTGGGCAAAAATCCGTAAGATGCCTGTGTGACATGCAAATGTTGCATGCCTTGGTATCTTGAACTTGTGAGCATAAGAGAAACTCCTTTACTAAAAAATTCAAGTTAGAAATTTGACTCTCTAGCGATGATGTGTTGGTATCCAATTACTCATGTTAGCTTAGAAAATAGAAAAGTGAGATTTTATATATTTTTTTATTTATTATTTTTTTATTTTCTATTTTTTTTTGAATTAAAGTAAAAGAAAAATCATTGCCTTTCCCCCGGCAACGTCGCCAAATTGTACATGCACTTTGTCGTGGTGTGCACTCAAAATAAATATCAATACAACAATTATACGTAGTATAATGAAGTAAGGTTCGTATATAAAGGGAAAGAAATATTTCTCTTTTAATTAAATAGTAACAAGGGGGTTTTGTATGATTGTTGATGAACTTAAATGTATTTAAACACTAAGATAAACGACTTATGTGTTTTAGTTAATAGAGATGAAGACTTGGTTTTGCTTTTATCCACTTAATGAATGTTCGTCGATCCCGGTTATATCTTTAACTATCTTCCTCTCGAATACTCAATCGAGGAGTATCTTCATTTCATCGAGGGTAGTTATTAATAACGACACACATTCATTAATAAAACTTACTACCGAATCAATATAGAACACGCGTCGTACATTAACCCGATAGTAGCAATAAACTTAAGATGAAAACGATTGATATTGATAACCTCAACACAAGCGGTTTATTGGTTTAATCAATATAATTAATTCCCCTTAGATTATTAACCATGAGACGCATGCATTAATAATCCAAGTTTACTACCGTTGAAAGAATTGAATTAATAACAAGCGTATTAATCGATTGATTCTAGTAATAATTAATATATGAAACAAAACTAGTTGATCCTTTAAGTAATGTTCAAAATATTAATATGAAATATGAATAGGAATTAATTAATATTCTAGGAAGAAGATTAAATCAAATAAATGCTACCATAATTAATATCGAGATGTTAACTAATTGTCATCTTAGCATCACTTCCCAACATTAATATAGAGATAGATTAAAGGAAGAATCAATATTCAAGGAAGAAGATTAAAGAAAATAACTCACAATTTACAATTCATTAAGCTTCAAAGTAGCAAAACCAAGATGGAAGAGTTTAGCTCCTCATTTGGAGACTAAATATGATGCAAATATAAAGAAAGAACTTGTCTAAACTAAGCTTAGAAGTATATGTGAATTGGTGATTGTATTGTGAAGGAAAGAGGTGTATTTATAGGCTTTTAGGAGCTGCAGGGTCTAATATCCAACCGGGTATATAGGATACCTGATCGGGTATCTTAGGGAATTTCCCAGAAATTCACTTTTCTGGGCATACCCGATCGGGTATGTCGGCATACCCGATCGGGTATGTGACAAATCTTTACGAAATCTTCCTCCCACGATCATTTGTTCCTGGATTTTATTTGGACAATCAAATCAAGCAAATACCTGGTCGGGTATTGCCTATACCCGACCGGGTATAAGAGTATTTTATCCAAATCGAAATCTTTTATGCCTCCTTGCAATTTCCTTGATCTTTTGAGGTCCAATCTTGATCCCTTGGGTGATCTTTGATCTGTTTAGCTCAGAATAGTCGTAATCTAAACAAATTACAAATAATTATGAAAAGAAAGTATTACACCAAAAGTGTGTAATTTACACAACTAGAACTAATAAAAACTAGTTAAAATTACAAATATAAACAATAACAATTCTATACTATCAGCGGCACATGCGGATGAGTTGAGGGTGGGACTACGTTGATCGACAAGATAGGGATGAGGGGAGAAGTATGATGATGGGGTTGCATTGGATGGGGTACACAGGGTGACATAGTAGGTGGGGAAATGTTTTGTAATGAAGGTGCAGGAGTAATAGGTGGGCCACTCTGATTAATTGGAGTAGGTTCCAGGGATGTGGGAGAGAAACTATTGCATGTAGTAGGGGGTTACGTAGCGGAAAAAGATGTGGGATGAATCTCATGTGTCTACTAATATAGATGCGGTTACTGGAGATATCACATCACACATAAGCAGACTGGGATGTAGAATATCCTATAAATTACATGGGGAGGATCGGGGCTGCAGTTTGTTTGAGGCATATGGTCGAAGGCATGGGTAACACAAACAGCCAAACGGGTGAAGTTTATCATATTTTGGGAGGTGACGATACAATCGAAAGTACGGGGTGTCATTGTCAAGGACGGGCGTGGGGAGCCTATTGATTAAATAAATCGCGGTTTGAAACGCATAGGACCAGAAATGCAACGGAAGACCGGAATAACGTAACAAGGCTAGGCCAGTGTTAACAATATGGCGATGACGGCGTTCTGAGATGCCATTTTGTTCAGGGGTGTGGGGTGGAGTGGTTACATGAGAAATGCCGTGAGTATTCAAATACATTCGTAATTTAATAAACTCACCACCATTATCAGAAAATAGTGTACAAATTTTATGGTTGAAAGATTTTCAACTAACCGGTGAAATTGAGGAAATATGACAGATACATCCGATTTATGATGCAATGGATATAACCACATATACCGGGTGAATAGATCCACAAAGATGACATAGTAGCGATAACCATCTAAAGATTTTTCACTAGTGCCCCAAACATCGGTGTAAATAATTTAAAGTGGGTGAGTGACCCTCATGGAATTAATACCAAAAGGTAATTTTGTGCTTTTATTAATAATTAATATGACAAGAATTACAATGAAACGTACTAGAAACCCCAGAACGGATAATTTTATTAAAACGTCGCGCTAACAAAATAAAAATATGACTAGATGGATGACCCAGAGTGTGATGCCATTGAGATAGAACTTGGATTGAGTGAATTTGTGGAGATGGTACGATGGGCCGAGACAGACACGGTTCATAGTAGACATCATGGACGTTCTCCCCGCGAAGAAGATGCACCCCCGTGGCCCGATCCTTGACAATGAAACGAGTGGCAAAAAAATCAATAGACACGTGATTAGTTTTACACAACTTAGCAACAGAAATGAGATTTTTATGTAATTGAGGAACACAAAGTACATTAGGTAGGGTTAATGGTCGGGTGGGTGTGTGAAGGGTTGTAGAACCAGTGTGAGTAATGGGGAGAGCCTTACCATCTCCAAGGCAGACCTCATCCGGGCCACCATAATCGGAGTATTGAGGCAACATAGTAGCATCCGAGGCTATGTGGTGGGACGCCCCACTGTCAAACATCCATTGTTGAGGTCCCGGAAAGGATTTAGCAGCAACATGATTCGCCACTGGGTTGACATGGGCAGCGGGGTGCGGGATTTGATTGTCACGGAGAAAGCGTTGGAGCTTGCGACACACCTTGACGTCATGCCCTGCATTGTCACAAAAGCGGCAAATGACCAGAGGAGCAGACTGGCGGGCAGTAGTGTACTGAAAGCCACCATGGCCTCGCCGTGAATGAGATGGGCGCCGGTCAGAGGAATAGCTGGAACGACGATCTGAATTGGGAGGACCAGATCGTTCAATCATCGTAGCATTAGTCGTGGGAATTAGTGGAGAATCAACAGTGTCCAGATTTTGGTTCCGATCTTCGTGATCCAACAGAATTCTTTGAAGTTCTGCCAAGGGTAAGGCAGTAGGGCGCACATGAATGGCCGAGGTGAGATCCTTGTATTCTGAACTGAGGCCATTAAGGATGTTAATAACAAGATCTTCTTCGATGATCGGACTTTGCGCCAAGGCAAGAGCCTCAGCAAGGGCAGTCATTTCAGCAAGATATTCTGTGATGGTGTGATTGTCTTTCTTTGTTTTGGCAAGGGTGGATTTTAGAGAAATAATCCGATCCCAAGAGGTGCTAGCATACGTCATACTAAGTTTTTCCCATGCCTAATGGGAGGTAAAAGCCGATGTAATTATTGGTTGAATTATCTCAGAACAACTCCCAAGTAGTGCACTCAGGATAGTTTTGTCCTGACGATACTAAGTAAGGTAGCAAGGATTTACCGTAGATTTGGTAGCATCTGTGAACTGACCCGGAACGGAGATGTTGTCGTCGAGATAGCCGTCAAGGCCAAGACCAGTTAGGGCAACATGTACCTAACATTTCCAGACATGATAGTTGGATGCTGTGAGTTTGATGGGGAAGTTTGCAGTGGCCGTGAGTTGAATGACGGGTGTGGTGGGTAGGATCGCCATGGCCGAAAAAAATAGCTCACGTGAGAGGGGCTCTGATACCATAAAAGATGTAAATTGTGGAATTGTATATTTCATATTAAGTGTAATACATGAGTATAAATACATGTAGTACTAGTCTTCCGTGGTGATAGAATAGGTAGCTGCTAAGTATTAGGCTAAGTGTTAGGCTAACTAATAAATAACGGTGCTGATCCTAAAAGTTAGGAAATGATTGACATGCCAGCCGTATGACATTATGCTACACAAATGTACATAGAATAATTGTAAATGTACATAATAATAATCGGGGCCGGTCCTGAGAAAATGGAGGCCCTGTGCAATAACAAAATTTGGACCTTCCTTTCTAACACAAATAGAAATAAAACATAAATAAAAAACATAATAGTAACAAATAATGACAATTTGTGTTAAATTACAAGTTCATAAAGAAAATAATAATAAAAACCAAAGCACTCATTAAGTGAAAAGTATCAATTTATTGAAATCCTCCAATAACCTGTACTTTTTTCTTGAAACTAGTGGCTGAATAGAATTAGTAATATCTGTGTGAAAAAGAACAAACCCTTAGTACAAAACACAACTCAAACCCAAACCCAAACCCACAAGAAGATAATTTGTGTGAATAAGGCCTCTTTTCAGGATAAGATGATTTAATCAACAGAACATGAAAAAAAGAGCCTTACCTAGATCATCATCTACAATAGACATTACTAGCAGCAGATTGAAACAAAGTAATCTGGCAGTTATCCACTGTTCAAACTAATGAGCAGTACCTGGACACCATGGAATGGAATGCATAATATTGTAACAAGATTGCTCCTCCAAGATTTTGTAGAATTAACACAAAGCTAATCCCCCTATCTGCTCGTGGAATCCAAACCCTTTCATTCTATATGGTTTTAATGTTACTTTGATTTAAGTGAAAAGTTGATTTATTTTTTATTTAAGGACTATAACTAACAACTTAACAAGTATAAACATATTTATACCAATTTATTAAATATAAATAGTTTAATTAATTCATCAATTAATTACATTAAATTATACATAACAACCTAATTTTTTAAATTTAATTATTTCATCAATTCATCAGGTTAGTAAGCGGACACCCTAAATCCCTATTCCCCATTGGTCCTAAGAAATGATTAAAATCACATATTCACATAAAGTTATAAATTACATAAAAAATTAATAATGAAAACATTAATAAATTATTAATTTATTTCTTATCAGTTATAGAGGAGTGGAGGAATTACTTGGAGTGGAGTAGTGGAATCTTCGATTTGCTGATGGGAAGAAGAAAACGAGTGAAGAACCGCAGTCCCCAGCCGCAGGTTTCGCTCAGTCGCTCGTCTCACTCAGTCGCTGGCTATGTGGCTGCGGACTTCGGCCTTTCGCACTTCGTCCTTAGAATCGCAGTTGTCCTGTTCACCCCTCTCCCCCTCCTTCGCTTCACGCCTTCAGCCCTTCACTCCGTCTCTAGCTCCTTTTAATTTTGCTATTGGGCCGAGTGGCTAAGTAATACAGAGCAGTAGAGTAGTAGTAATACTACTACTAATTTTTTTGGCCCTCCAACTCTTTGGGCCCTCTGCGGTTGAGCTGCCTACACTCCCTCTGGGCCGGCCCTGATAATAATCATGATTTAATAGCCTTTACGTTACAAACAAAACCAAAAAGGGGCAAAAAAAGAATAAAGAAAAAAGAAAACAAAATAAACTGAGGAAGATTTCAATTTGGAGTGTCGGCAAGCCAAAGAAGAGAAAAAGAAGGCAGAGATGGATTTAAGGGTGTGCGGGGGGCGACCGTCGACCGTCCCCCTTGGACTTTGGGAAAAATAAATATAATACCTCAAATTTTGAAGGGGTGTGAGATAAACACCCCAAACTTGCATATGTAATTTAAATACACCCAACATTATATAAAAAGTTATTTTAGCACCATAATCAAATATTATTTCTTTTTAAAATGTAAGTTTATGGTGTTAATTGCATAATCTAATATATTTTAGAATTCATGAAGAAATAAATAATGTAATCCCAAATCTATATAATTGCAACACTTTTAATTTGTTATTTCAAATTATGCAATTAACCTAAAAAATTTACATTTTTGAAAGAAATAATACATGATAATGGTGCAAAAATAACTTTTTATATAAAGTTTGGGGTATTTAAATTACATATACAACGTTGGGGTATTTATCTCATACCCCTTCAAAGTTTGGGGTATGTTTATTATTTTTCCCTTGGACTTTCAAAATTTTCTACAGTATATGTAATATTTTCCTAAAATTTTCATATATACTTTGATTAGATTCGCCCCCTTAACTTTTAGTTTTCAAAATTGATTTATAGTCTTACATAATGTAATACTTACTTGGAGATTTAAAAGAAGAAACACCTAAGATAATTTACATAACTTAAATAAATAAACAATAGAACAACTCATTGTTTAAGATTTATGATACTTATTATTAAAAAATTCTTAGTTTTGTAATGTTTAATTATCTTTATTCGATAACTAGTACTCAATTTTGTACAATATATAACAAACGATATTAAATACCAGACACACTAGTCACACAGTTTACAATCGATGTAAAGTGAGTCGAAAATATAAATGTTTATTGACATTAAATTACACAATTCATTTACTCCTTACGTTCTAAAAAGACTTTATTGCATAGATAATAAGCTCTAACTTATTTTAGCATTAATACAAATATAATATGCACTATATATATGAATTACCAATATAATATTATTCTAAAAAAATAATCTCATACATACTATTATAATATTTAGAAAGTACTCGTGATTCATGAACACCCTCCTTGGTAGATAAAAATTGTAATTTAAAAACCAGTTCTTTATTTTTATAAGATTCATGTATTTAAACAATGTAGAAGTTGTTTTAAAAGTATTGGTGAATGCGTTCCTTATAAACTCTTTATATTCAAATAAAATGTTATATATCTTTTTTATTTTCAAATTATTTTTCTTTTATTTGTCATTTCTTACGATTTAATGTCGTCGTGTATGTATTAATGAAATTTTTTGAATAAAAATAACCGCAGAGCCTTACACTAGTAAAAATATAAGCCCGCTACACTAGCCAAAAAAAATCACCCCGCCACAACGGTGAAAAACATGACCCGCTACTCTAACAAAAATTTTCACCCCTTTGACTCGAAATCCTAGATCCGTCCCTGCAAGAAGGAACAACTCGATCAATCAATTGCAGCCTAAGAGAGAGAAAAAGATAAAACCAGGAGCAGACAGCTGCAGAAAAAGAGTTAACGTACCGCAATCAGTCAGCCGCAAGAAGGCAGTTCTTGGCGCCAAGGCAAGGAGAGATGTGAATCAGTGGAGCGTCAACAACTCTGAAAAATGTAGATCCAAGGAGGAAGAATAGAGCAGTTAGCGAAGGAAAAGAAGAACGCACGGGCGGCACGGCAGTTCATGTCCAATTGTCCATCATCATTTATCATCTTTTAATCTTAACCATTAAGGTTCGGTGTCAAGCTTCTTTCTTAAATTCATGTTTGAATAATCTTTGAGTTATGTTCTTGTATTATTTCTAATTTTCCAGACTTTCAAGTTTGTTCCTTCGTTCTTCAACTGTTATTATTGGGAGTCTATATTTTAATTGTGCTCATGTATTACTTTAGCTTCTCCATTAATGTAGTTAGTTTCTTGATAAGCATGTCAGGCTAAATTTCCACGGGGTTTCGATTTGGATAAAGTTAAAGTTAATGAGTGTTCTTGAATATTGAATTGAATTTGGGAAAATTTTCTAATTTTTAGGACTAGTTGTTTGAGATGAAAATTGAATGAATAATTTGTGGAATTGATCACTTCACTTGTGATTTTTTGGAAAATTAATTCTTACTTGTCTATGAGTGTGGAATTAATTTAGCACACATCTCACACCCTACACTAAGCCTAGAAATAGGACATGTTAGGGGAATTGAAATTAAATTCTTGTCTATGAGAATTAATGTCACTATTCTTAGATTAGAGAAATTATCCCATTTTTATATATAATCAAAGACACCCACGACCTTAATTCCAAATCTAGACCTCACTTTTAATTAGTTAATTTTATCGTTGCTAGTCACGTTGAATTTGCCTTTGAGTATTTTATTTTTGAAACTTTACTCATCCACATGTTTGCTAGTTTAATATTTTAATTAGTTAATATTCTCTTTAAGTTATTTTGCATGTTCACTAGTTTTAGTTTACTCATTAATGTCATTTAATTAAATTCTTCATTGGTACTTTTGTTGTTTAATTTTATTTGCTTAACCATTATCACAAATAATCATTTGAGAAAGCTTGCAACGACTCGTACTAATCGGTGACCGATATTGAAACCAACACTTCCCTCCGCCACTCTTCAGAGACACGATACTCGGGGAAAAATCGAAATGCTAGATTCTATTTTACTACAACGCCGCGAAAGCGGGTTATCACTCATATATAGAGTAATTAGTTTTGTATGACATGCACTAAATGTATTTCAATTGTAGTATAAAATAACATGTAATCTCAGTATTATGCGAAATACTATTGATGTCCAAATTTTGATAATTCAGACAAAAGCTCATAATTTAGACATTAATCTCTCATTACTGCTCATCAGAGCCGGCCCGAACATATTGAGGGCCCTGTTCAAAATGTAATTGGAGGCCCTAAATCATAAAATATATGAAGTCAAATTAAAGCAAGCATTAAGAAAAGTGTAAGAATATTTTGCATAAACCTAGCTATAATATTTTATTTTCTTAAGAAATAAAACATCATAACTCCCAAAAATATATTAGTCGTGCTTATAAAAAAGAGTCGGGCTACTCGAGAAGATTAAAGACATGAAAACATAGTATATTGTACATATGCCCATGAAGAACATGCAAGTACCTTACAAAGATAGATAAAATATTGAGGTGTGGAAGTAGTGTTGTACTGTGCAGAGCTCAAATGTGAAAGGCCGAACTTATCCTTTTGCTCCACTTCGAATTAAGATTTTAGCAGGAATCTTAGGAAATTATTTGAC